GTTGTGTTGTTAGAGGTGGTCGAGTGTTTGGTACTTCGGTAATGGAATTAGGTGAAAAGAGACAGAAGGGAAGAGGTCACGGGGTGGAACCACTCACACATAGAGGCCTAACAAAATGCCAAATAAAAAAAGGGACAAGGAGACTTATTATCATTTAGTTATACAAAAACCCAACCCACATTGATCTCTTATTTATTACATTGAGCAACAAAAGCTAATCACGAGTTATACAATATGTGAATGCAGTTTGACATAAGAAAAGGAAACTATTTACTCAATGAAAATTGCACCAAGTGTGAAAAGGTGGAACAACACGGGAGATAAGTGTTGAACATGAGCAATAACTCAGTTCGTAGATGAGATGGAAACCAACACATATATATCTCCATAAAAGCAACAAACTCACGTTATTATTCATAAAAGTTTGGCTTGAATCTTGAGGAGGAAATTTGAAATAGCCATTGGACTTGCAAACTTATGTGCATAATCGGAAATATTTATGAGCTTCGTCCAAAATTTATTTAAGCTCCTCCTCTCATGGATCATTGATGGAATTATAGGTTCTTCTATCTCCCCCATTCATTGTTATATCATTTATTACATAACAATAGCTTGTTTGTGTTATTGGAATATATGTAATTCCTTATACATTTGAGTAAAATATTATGCATAAAAGTTTATGTTCACTATTCTTTCTATACTTTGTTTTGCCAACCACATCCAAAAAAAAAAAAGAATTGATTGTCCAATTTGGAAGGGAAGAATTTACAAAAGTGAAATCTTGATATCTAATTCTAGGAAATCAGATCAAACGATATGACATGACATTAAATATTGAGACATAAGAGAGATAGTAGAATTTATAAAACGGTCCCGAATCAAACTAAACTAAAAAAAAGTTAGAAAAAGTTTATCACTAGTCAAGAAACTGTGTTAATTCGTCAAGAAATATTCTCTCTATACTCTATATTCTCGATTCTCTGTATGATTTACATTTTTACACGTGTTTCCAATCCCAAAGGTCGAAAAATGTGAAACTTTCCTTAAACACTTCAAAACAGTAGCTAAAACTTAGACTACATGATTCAACAAAATTTACCCAAAATAATATCAATATTTTCAATTTAAAAAAAAAATAAAACTAAAAGAGATTTTGTTAATTTCATTTAACATGGCTTTAAATGATTGTGGTATATACAAAGCGGTTCGGACTAAAAGAACTCTACTTTTGCTATATATTTATTTATCAAATCTCACCGTTGTGGATACCA